TCCCCGGTATTCAAATACGCGCGATGTCGGCGGCGCGTCCCTTTCGGGTGGAAGAACTGGAAGACCCCCCCTCCCCTACCCCAAATCAATCGACACCATGCGTTTGTTCATCCGTTTTATTTCGATTCCAATTGCAACCGAGATCCTCGACAAAGACGTTCGAGAGATTGACGAGATGCCGATGTATATCTCGCGTGGAAACTGCGCGCACGCGCTCCTTTCTATCTCCTTTCTAAGATCCGCGTGTTTTCAAATGTACGAAGATTTCGATGCATGAAATCGTGGTCGGGAAAAATTGTCAACGTCAAAAAAAAAAAACTCTGATGCAAGAAGTTTGCGAGCGAGTCTCGCAAGAATAGAGAAAGTGACGTGTGCGACGGGAATCGCTTGGTTCTTCGCTCGGGAACAAGCGCAGTCTTGTCTCNTAATTCGTCTTGCATGCCTTGCTTCCTTCGGTAGTGTAACTACACCCTAACTCTGCGGAAGTGCGCTAGCGCGGTGCGTTTTGCGCACGCGGCGACGCATACCACAGTAATACGTGCATGGTGGTGGTAGTTGAAGGTGGACATTGTGATATACTTCTCAATATAGACTATATATATATATATATATATCTATATATATATATATATATACATATATATATATATGTATATCTAAAAGTGCGTATACTGGCGAATGAACAACGAATGCGAACTTTCGTCTTACATCTTACATCTTGGAAAATAACGTACATTATGAGAAATACGGACGGAACGTTTCGGGCCGACTTGATCATAAGGTGGTTTGTCAGGTGATTTTAAAAAAAGTTCACGCACGTTTAGACGCGATTACATCACACGTTCGCTGTTCGTTCGCTACGTGTACACGCTACGTGTTCAACGCTCTAACCAGGCACTTATTATTAGACGTAATAACGCATATCGCTACTGTCGCGGTCGATTTTCTAAATAATGCTGAAGCAAAAGAGAAATCGATTGACTAAGAAAAATCCTTATCGCCATGGAAGGAACGGAAATCAAGCGAGGCAAGTGAGAAAACGCTTACCGACGACAGGCAGAAAAATATTAGTAAGAATATTATGCGACTTCTGTGTGTTCTCCGAGTGTGAGAAGGTTAACGGAACGGAAAGCTCCTCCGAGGGAAATAAAGCGAAATGTAAATATCGGACAACAGCGTTGCGTTCGTGTTTCTCCTATTTTTTTTCTTTGTTTCTCTTTTTATTATATCTCGCGTGTATATCTAAAAGTGACGCCAAGTCATGGCGACGTACAGCGTTTTCGATTACCTGGCAGTCTTACTTTGAGCATAAATATCTCGTGGAATCACGTTCCTGGCGTGAAGAAGCGAACAGTGACAAGATCGCGTTGCGTTGTTCTTCTCCCGCCTCTTCCTCGACAATTCCTTGCCGCTATACGTTTGTCCCTATGCATCGCGTATTCACCGCCAAAGGTGGGCGTCTTAACACGTCCGAAGCGGAACCGACGCGATCCTTTATGCAGGAATATCCGCGTTACGCACCGCGAAATCGTCGGAGACGCACTCCAATCAGATCGACCGTTAGCCACGAGTAGAACACAAGTCCGAGAAATTATCTTCGCTCGCAATCTTCGTTGAATTATTTTGTGTGTGTAAACATTATATATATATATATATATTAACATAATATATAATATTATTAATAATATTATATTATAAGTAATATATATAATATGTATACATGTATTTTTTTCTTTTTTTATACCTTTATGAAATTTCTTGTATATGAATATAAAATATAAAACTAACGATATGTCCATATTTCCGCATAAGGATTCGTCGATACGTGGGATTAAGATAGGAAGGCACGAGGAGAGTTATCGAAAGATTACAGTCCGATTGATATTAGTTTTCTTCTGAAGACAGGAGGAAAAACCACGCGTTGTCTCAGATATCGCGTAAGTCGAGCACTAGTATCGCACACACACTCACATCCACTCACACACACACATACACATCAGAGATCCGCAGCGTTAATTCATCAAGTGCGATTGTACAATTTATATCTCGCGTACTGTTATCTCAATAAAATTCGAAACGTGACCAACGACCACCTTTAGCGTGAAATCGAGGAGGATATTACGGTCTCGTGGTATTACAGACGGACGATTTCTCACCTAATCTCCCCCCCCCCCTCTTTCTCTCTCTCACTTACTCGCGCAGATCTTACGAAGCGGGCGGTTGTCACAACGGCGAATAACGCGGTGTAGCGCAAGCCGTTTCTATCGGCGTGATAGCGTGAGCGAGCCAGGCGCGTCCGTTGTCTCGGAGATAGTAATACGACACCCGACGTGGAACACGTCGGCGAGATGTCGGAACCTTGTCGAAGGTGTGCGCGTGTCCACGTGTGAGATACGCGTGTCACCGTGCCCTAAACGCGGGAGAAAGCACACGGCGACGCTTTTCCCTTCGCTGTTCCTCACCTCTGCGATGAACACCTTCGCATCTCGCTCGGAGGCTGCGTATTCGGACTATACGCGATTCGTCGCGTTGACGAACGGGAGGACGAAACGCAGGCGAGCGGTACTCGCATACTCGCTTATCGCACGCCGAGATTACGCGACTGCGAGCGATTTCGATGTGATAATGTGACGGTGCGTTCCACGCATGGATATGTACGTCGCTTTGCGAAGCGGTAACGCAACGCTGATCGGTAGCACGCGCAGTCCCGTGTATACATCATCGTAAACAATGTCGCGAACGTGATCGGTGACTGTGTGCTCTTTTTCTCTCGCGTGTGCGGTAGCGTCGGCAGCTTGGTCCCTCGAAACACCAGCATGTTTCTCTAGTCGTTATACATTTATTATATTGTAAAGATGAAATTGAGAGAGTGCGTACTCGTGCGAACGACGTTACGCAACATGGTCCCCTTCTTGTTTTACATTAATTTCATAGTATAAAAAATACCGAGTCTCTCTTTCTACCCCTCGATAACATACAAATATCGCAACATCATGTTAGAACCTGATGATATCCCTCATCCCCCCCTCCCCCCCGGATTATTACGTACAAAATTGTGCGCTTGTCTTTTGTGCCTGGAATGATGAAATACGAGAGAAGACGGACACGCGTCAACAATCTACACGCGTACGTACGCGCGCACACACACTCACGCATACACATACACACACACACGGCTTACCCCTCCCCCCCTCTCTCTCTTTCTCTCGCTCTGTATATCTCCATGCGTGTATGCTCATTACATGTACAAAGAAATTTGTTCTCTCTCTCTCTCTCTCTCTCTCTAACATAGCGCAATCTAACGATATACATACAGTCCTACGGAGTATATTGCTCGCATAACATAGCAGTGGAAAATCAAGACGCAATTAACGATTAGCGTGAAGGAAGAAGAAGAAGACGGGAAGAAAAAAAAAGATAAGTTAGGTGTAAGAATTCGTAGGGGGGCGGCGCGTGCGAGACAGCGAAAGAGAGAGAGAGAGAGAGTGATCAAGGGAACTAAATAAAAATTATGGCGCGAGCTGAGAAATACGACGCGTACACACGGGCCCACGATGTAACAGCAGATACGTGCCGCCCCGAATCCTTCGTGGTAATCATTCTATGCGCGATCGCGCGATTACACCACGTGGACAAGACGAATCCGTCCACGTCGGATTTTCCCGAGAGGCGCGTGCATACGCGCACTCAGCTCGATGGAGAACGCGAAAGTTAAAACAAAAAGANAAAAAAAAAAAAAAAAAAGGGGAAAAGGGGGGGGGGGGGGGGGAAAGGAAGAAAGAAAAGAACAAAGGGAAACGAAGCGAGAAGGTTTAGCATTAAGACTGAACACCGAACGCCGTCCCCCGCTTTATCACACGGTCGAAGTCCACGGGTACGAAGGTCCGGCGATGCCGGGAGTGGGCTTCGCGGCTCCTTAAGCTCTTTCACAGGTGTACCACTCCCCTCGTCTTCGGGTTGAGCAACGCGTCGGATCCGAACGGTAAAACTCGAAAATATACAGCGTCAGCGTTCTCGGCGTTCCTACACGGCGGACGACGATGAAATTGTTCCTGCCGGCGTACGCGCTTTTTTTCCCCCCTTATGCACGCGTTTTCCTTTTCTCCCTTTCTCTCTCTCTCTTTCTCTCTCTTTCTCTTTATCTATCTCCATCCCTTTCTCGTACTCAAGTATTCTTACGAGGCAGGTCGTTCCACCGGGTGTGTAACGAACAAACGAACGCGCGCCGGGACTCGTCAGGAATGCCGCACGCGCGCTCGCCGAGAGCAGCGCGCTTCGTGGAATAGCGAATTTTATGTTCCTTCGCGAGCGCACGAATGTCCCGCAGGACACGTTTGCCGTGACGCTGGAACAGAGCTAATTGCCGCCGGCTCCATCTCCAATTGGTCATTATAATCGGCCGACGAATAGTAACGGATAATCGCGCTCAATTGTGCGTAATTGCCTCAGCGCGTTCGAAAGAAAAAAAAGAAATCGCCACGGCCGAGCATTGTTTGGTGAACGCGAGGAAAAATCCCTTAAGCGTATCTCGGCTCGAAGTCACGATAAGAACGAGAAACAAAGATTACTCCCCCGAGGTTCTCTCTCCGTGAGGGCCCCGGAGCCACTTTTCTGCGTGAGAAAATCCGGAATCTTATAAAACGATCTCCGTCCGGGTGAGAGTACGCGATACGCCAAGCAATATTTCTCGATTAAGGTGGTGCTGAGAGAAACACTGTGCGCAAATAAATAATTTTTATTATTAAATAACGCAATTAAATAACGAAAAGCGGAATACACTCGTCGCCGTGAACCGGAGGAGTCCACGAGAGACGTGAGATTTGCTCGAAGGAAACGAAAAAAATGAAAAGAGAAAAGAAAAAGACCGAAGGACAATAGGACATCGACAATGGCGTCAAGGGAATGTCAGCGGGCTCGTCGGAAAAGGCCCAGAATGCGTCGCAGACGCGGATGGTAGTGAGACGACCCCGATGGGGGGGGGGGNGGGGGGGGGGGGGGGAGCAAATGCAGAAAACTGGCGGAACAGGCGATCGCAAAATCGATGGGAAACTCACCGTGGGTGAAAGGATCCGAAGACGAGGAGAGTTCGATGCGAAAGACGAGGAGAGACCAGAGAGAACGGGCAGCGGAACGGCGCGCTTTGTCTCGACCGCAGACCCGACGCCGGAATGGAAGCGTGTGAGAGGGACGGCGAGAGAGACACGTAAGATTCCTGGCCTAGCTAAACCTGCGAGAGACCCGGTTGCAGCGACTGAGTCCATCGAGTCGATATGATGATCAATTTGAAGAGTCGCCTTGCGTACAATTAAATCTACATAATTACCTAGCTACAATCTAAAGAGACAGGCGAGGATTCCCGCTTAATCCGCCTCCTCCGTCCGTCGTCGAGTCGCTAAACTCGACTGAATCCCCCCCTCCCCCCTCTCTAACTCGCCGACTTGTTCGTTCTAGCGAGCGGTTGATCGCTCAATACACCGAACGAACGAATGCGAAATCGATTGATCACGACGCGCCCGGTGCTCCTTGACGTGAGTCTTAAAAGGATCCTTAAACTACTCGACTACACGAGGACCCCCCGCCCGGATTCTGCGCGATTCTTCTTCCCTTGCCTGTGGTCGTACAGTAAGATTACTAGAGTATAGAAAGAGAAGACGGTGAATTACTAATTTCAAGTCGGCTCTAAGATCAGTGGACTGTCGGTGCAACCCGGTCTGATTAAGGACGCCGATACCTCGCCCCCCCCCTCCCCCGGTATCCATCCACCCGGTGGTTCATCGATGGCGTGTCTCTTTTCTTATTCTCGGCTCGTCAGTCTCTTACCGTTGTCTTTCATTCTCTCATTCTCCCTCTCACTCGATCGGTAGTCTCGTCTCAACGGAGAGACGAGGAGCTTCCGAGAGAACCTCCACGAGTTTCTCAGGGAGTGCTCGCTGATGTCTTTTGGCTCCGTTCGACACGAGCTACACGTTCTCCTTGCCCTGCACCTTGCTCGCGAGGTCGGCGATGAGCTGCTTGTAGACCAGCGGGTCCATGTTCTTGCCGAGCTGATAGAGGACGAACCAGTCGCCGATCTGGCACTTGTCCGAGATGATCTTGACCTGCTCCTGCGGCGAGAGGCGCGAGCGTGCGCGCAGCAGCACGTAGCGCAGCTTCGGGCTGAGGATCACCGCCAGGCGATACGCCAGGCTGAGGGCGCTCAGGATCGCCAGAATGATGAACCAGAACCAGAGGAAGACGTAGATCTTCTCGTTGACGATGTTGAGCGGCAGCACGCAGAGCCCGTCGAACTTCTGCACCGAGCCAGACGGACCGTATTTGTGGAATGTGCACTTGGTGACTTTCGGGAACACCTTGGACATCGGGTCGATGCGCTCCTCGGGCTCCATCTCGGTGAACCGGACCACGTCGGAGCCGTAGGTGGTGAACTCGCCGTCTAAGAAGAAATCCATGAAGTAGATCTGGCCGAACACGTTGATGAAGTTGAGCACCTCGCAGAGGAAGAAACGGTAGGCGTAGAAGTTCTGCATGTGCAGGTTCGACGTGATGTAGTCGACCAGCAGCTTCCGCCGGTCGCTCTTGCAGTCCTCGCTGACCACCGGGCAGTTGAGGTCGAGCACCAGCATCTTGATGCGGCCGCCCTCCCAGTTCTTCCAGAGGTAACGCGGTATGTAGAAGAGGATCGCTTGGAAGAAGAGCGTGAAGCAGACCCACTGATAGTACTTGTGGTACTTCACCTCGTCTTTGCCTTCTATGTGCCCCGACACCCCCGGCTGCACCATGTCCTTGCCGACCAGGCCGCTTCGATCCGGGATCGTGAAGGTCGAGTAGATCCAGCAGTAGGTGTCCATCACGTGCAGCGGTATTTCATCGACGATGCAGTCGATCGGGTCGCCGATGTACTGCCGTGAGGTCACCAGCAAGGAGAACGCCACCAGCGTGATCACGGTGGCCTTGTAGTGCAGCCGGAACACATTGTTGTCGATGCACACCGAGTCGAGCTTCAGCAGCCCCTTCACGGAGCCGAACACGTCAAACATGGCTGTCGCGCGTTTTTAGCTTCTTCCTTTCTTCACCAAAACAACAAAACTCCCCTCGACTGTCCACGCGTACGTTCGTTCGTTCGATCGTTCGTTTACCGGTGGCCGATCGCGAAACCGTCCGAGTACTCTCCTACGATCACCGTCGTCGCGCGCTCGGCAGCTTCCGCGCGCGTTCTCACGCCAACCCCTCGGTGACGGAGGCGGCAACGACGACGACGACGACGGCGACAACAAACAGGGATACGCTACGGTCGCCGATCGGCGGCGACACGGTTAACTCACTCAGTCCGTTCGTTCGTTCTCTCTCTTTCTCGTTCGTCCGGTTCTCTCGTGTGCGTGTATACACGTGCGTTGCGAGAGCCCGTGTATTCTGGCCGCACCGGCCGACGAGACGACGTATACGTTGTCGCGCGCACCACTGGAGTAGCACACTATATCGTATCCGCGTTCGCGTCGCTACACGTCGCGTTACTCGGCGTTACGAGCGTCACCGAGCGACTCTGTCGTAATGGCTGCGCTCGAGACGCGACACAAGCACGCGAGGACACGGCGTTCCACGAGCTGCTCCCTTTTCCTTGCTTCTCTCTCGTTCCTCTTTCTCTCTGTTTCTCGCCCTCTTCTTGAGCCTCCCTCTCTCCTTCTCTCTCTCTCTCTGTCTGTCACTCACTATATATCGTTCTCTCCGTCTCGCTCGCGCGCTATACTCTATCTACGCTCTTCTGTCTCTCTCTCGTGGCACACAGGCCGGTCGGGGACCGAGAACTGTTCGTTACTTCTGCCGCGCAGCAGGGAGGCTTCGACCCCCACCTACGATACCGACTCTCTACTCTCCTGCGCGCACCCTTGCAACGTCGCCGTGTCCTCCTCTCTCTCTTGCGCACCAGCTAGTTCCGTCTGCGCGCCGCACTTTATCCCGTCGACGAGATCGTGCCGGCTCGGCCGCTCTCGGCAGGCCTCGGCGAGCCTCGGGCGCAGTCGTTCGCGCGCGCCGCGACACGACTCCTCGCATGGTTGTTACCATGGCGACTGGGACTACCGATGCCGCGTTCTTGGGAGCGTGGGACTCCGCAGACGAAAGGAGCGGATCCTTTTCGCGAACCACGGCCGATCACGGCGTTAATCATGATTAACCTCATCCTTCTCTCCTATGACGGACAGGTCCGTGTAACTTGGAATGCAAAAAAGGTGAGTCGCCCGCAGGTACTTCCCAGATAGCACGAAGTGTCGAAAGTGCGTCTCAGACCGGTATTCACGGTCACATCGTATATTTCAGTCTGTTTCACACTTACAGCGCTGCAAGCGTCATTCCATCTTCCTTGTTCATTATATGAGAAAGAAAGATAGAATGGCTCTTACAGTGCTGTAAGTGTGAATCGGACCGCAGCCTAAAGCGGGATCTGCAATGAGAGTAAGACGCGAGATTTAAGAAATGGACCAATCACCGTCCAATTATAGGAGAAAGGTCAATTACGACTGGTCAGTTTCTTAAATCTTACATCTTAAATTCTCATTGTAGACCCCGCTTAAGATCGTCTTAAGTTCATCTTCGGATGCTTCGTAGTCAATGAAACGGACCGTACAGCATCTGAAGGTGAACTTAAGACTTATCTTAGAGATAAGATCTGACTATGCCTGCGGTCCGATTGATGTTTATAGCGCTGCAAGCGTCATTCTATCTTTATTGTTCATTACATGCCAAAGGAAGATAGAATGACACTTGCAGTGCTACAAACATGAATCGGATTTATGAGTACTGCTCTTAGAGACGTTTCAAAGGCGTCTGAAACAAGTGGGATATCTTCTAGACGTCTCTAAAGCTGGTAATACACTGAGCGAACCGAATGCGAACTTTCGTTGTTATAATTTGAAAAAATATACATGCGATAAAGGATCCGAAAAGAACGTTTCGAGCAGATTTCTTCGTAAAGTGGTTTATCGAAGAAAGTTTTTGCGCGTTTAAACGCGAATGTACATTCACGTTACACATTCGCTGTTCGTTATTCATTCGCTCAGTGTATATCTACTTTATGATGTTCTTTGGATATTTGTGCCGCGTTCTTTCCTTACCTGTGCAATTCGGAAGTTGCATCGATATGTATCAATTAACTCATTTTTTTCATTATATTTATGTTACACTGCATTGAAATCACACGGAGGAAAATATTATTCCACTGTTAAGAAAAGCGATTACTCAGTTTAATTTTTTTCTTTTAAATAGTAAATGACCGCATCAACTTCGTCATCTTGTGTTGCATTGCGCGCAAGGAAAATGACACGTTGCTTTTGCGTTTCCTTCTCTCGGTCAGTGACACAGGATCGTCGCGTCCTGTCTGCGATCTGACATAACGTAGCCGCGACGTGAAAACGGGCGAAAAACAGCGCGCTAACTTGACACGCGCTCTTTTTCCGCGCGCGTAACGTAGCGTGACAAAACGTGAGTGCGCGCTCGATGATAATATCTTCACCAAAACGTAGCTTGCAACAAGTCCTCTCTCACGCCGTTTGACATTTACCCCGAAACAGGAGGAGGACGCACGGCGAACTTGCGAAGCGGCAGGACCGTAGCTACTGTGCGGCAGAAATTGACGAAGCGGGCAAGCTGGCGAAATTCCAGCTCGTCTCCCGTTTCTCCGATCTATATTTCCGCACGAATCGTAGTGTACAGTCGGCGACATATATATGTTGTAGCATTCCCGAGATGAAGATTCACACAATTTTCAACCTTATACGTGACACGTAAAATTAAAAATCGCAGAAGTAACGCTACACGAGAATAAGTATTAGCTGTCCATGTAATACGACGGAAATTTAGTCATCAGACTTCGTTTTTTAGCCGTGGAAGCTAAAAATCAAGTACAGGGATAAAAAGAATTAGCTAAATTAACTAAATTTCAGTTGTATTATATGGACAGCCAATTTTTACCCGTGAGAGCTAGTTTTTTTATTCCCGTTCTATCATTTTATTTATTATTTTTTTAAATTATTTTTCTCCATACATAAATTTTCTATCTGTAGGGAATGATACAGCATACATGATACTGACTTTACAATTAACTTTACTTTTACAATTAAAACCAGAGATACGTGCAGCTTTTGACATGCGATGACGTATCGAGAATTTGCTAAAACGCCAAATAACGGCCGATTTCAGTCAGGTGCATTTCGCAGACGTTCCTTTGTCGAATTTCTACCGGAATTGAAAAAAAGACCGGAAGATTTCGATCGTCGTCGCACAAACAGCTGTTATGTCAATGCCATTCGTTCTACGTATCGTGAGAGATACTGTCAATGATATCTGTGTCATAGGGCGCGCGTTCTAAATATAGAACCATAGTAATGAATCCTGCGCTTCTCCTGCTGATTAACCGTTCTCGCGAAATCTATATATATACATATATATAGAGAGAGAGAGAGAGAGAGAAGGGGAAACAGAGAGAGAACGAATTACGGTTTAAGTCATTGGAGATCCACGGGTGCGGGTAGCTTTCGAAAGACACTGTTGTTGTTGTATCGTCATTTTCGAACAACGTCAGCAACGTGATAACGCTATCACGGTCGATCATATTTCTGACTCTCCGTCGACAAAACACGGTATACGCTTATTGCGCAGCCAGCTGTTTCGATCGTCTCATGGAACGGCACAGCGTGCCGGGTCGTCTCGTTATCTTCTGTCCAGGCAGCAGCGGGACTATACCTGACTTCTTCTCGGAGGAAGAGAGAGGTTTCGGATGAATCAGACAATCGCCGCTTGGAAAAGGATCTTTAACCCTACCGACACAAAGGAACGTCTACGACGATGCAGCGACCGAAACCGGTTGCTTTTCGGTCCCGCGCGAATTTCCGAAGCTTCGAGAGAACATGTGAAAAAGCATGAAGTTGCATTGCGCCGAGTGGAAAAAACCACACGTTTCCCATAATTTGTCTTTAATTATCACAGTTCCTGCAATATTATCTAATCCCCCGACCGTCCACGATAATTCGTTAATGATCACCGTTATCCATTGATTCCGGATCGCTTTATCGCTTTATTAATTATACGAATTACACAGAGAAAAATAACTGGTGTTTGTATCACAATCAAAGAATTATAATCAGGAAAACTAGTTTTTAATTATTTCTAAATATTTCTATAATGTCAGTGATAACCTTACATACATGTTGCTGTTACTATTTTTGTAATCAAAATTATAAAAAAGGTATAATTCAGACCGAAAATAACTATAATTTTAGAACAGGAGGTATCTAGTCATTTGATTATATTTTTAGCATAATCATGAAAATGGTATTCGCAGAATTTCAATAATTAAATGCAACACTAATAATGCATGCACTATTATATATGTATATATACCTTCCATTGTATTTGTTATATTTAATGTGATTGATTCGCCGATTCATTTCAAAACTACAACAGTCGTGATACAAAAATATGTAAATAAACGATGCGCCCGCGCCAAAATACTCTAACCGGAAATGAAAGGTATTATTGGAGTTTTATGTGAGTTTATTAAAAAACGCGATAAAGCATTCGATGATAGAGAATGATAGGAGATAACTCAGGTGTCCTTACGCAGTCTAATACTACGTTGAGATAATCTTTGATTTTTGTCTCGGGGATTTTTATCTGTTCGATTACTGATACCGCAGACAAGGCTATGATAATCGTGAAAATCTCAGATAAAGTAAATCACATTCTGCGTCGAATGATCCAAATAATTATGTCTCACATAGTGTATAGGATCTTACGAAAGAGATAAACGAACACCATCTTATTATGATTATTATCACGTTAAGAGATTATATGATCTTATTATATTACGAGATTTGGCAGTTCGCTCAATTTACATTGCGCACAGCCTTACTCGCTACGTGCGATTTCGCACGTAATTGCGGCTCGGATATGACACTCATGGGGTATCCGCTTACGTTTTTTCGCAGAATAAAATGATTAAGAGCATTAGAATGTGTACTAAATTAGGTTCTGTCGTAAGATATTTTACATGTAGATTTTATATAATTGTGTAAAACATATTTGATTTTTTATGTAAATTCAGGAAGAAAGATTTTATATAATTGTGTAAAACGTATTTGATTTTTTATATAGATTCAGGAAGAAAGATCATCGTTTACTTTAGTAACGAACGCTTTAAGTGGAGTTAAAAACTTTGAGTTAAGAGTTTCAAATTCGCTTCTTAAGAGCCAGAAATTTGGTTCCCTTCAACCAAAACGTTTAGTTGTGTCACGTTAATTCAACAAATCTTTTTTCTTCATGCGTGACGTTGGTAACGAACGTATTGACGTAGATTTAAAGGGAAGAAAGAAAGGGAGAGAGAAAGAGAGTGCGGAAGTTACATATGAGTCAATCTTATCATAAAGTAGTTATTATCAACGTTATTATGGCCGCAAGTAATTGACGTTAATTTAGATACTTTTTCTTCGTTTAAAAAGCTAATACTTCGTGGAAATTGCCATTGACCGTTGCTTGTTGGTCAGTCTTAGCTTACATACATAGAAGGATACATCATTGGAAAAGGTCGAATCATGATTAAAGCATTTCATTGTGAAGAGTACATTTGCGATTTTCCGACGAAGTGTGTCTCAGATAGACCAAGGTTGCTAGATTTTGTTATAATTGACAGAA